AGTACTCAGTATTACTGATCATCAAGGAAATGCAAGTTAAATGAGATGTTAAAATAGATCAAAGGAAAAAAAATTAAACACTGAATGTGGCTGAGCCTGTGCGGCAGGCGTATTTCTCCTACACCTGCTGACGGGGGTGCAAAATGGCACAACAATTCCAGGACGCTATTTGGACATTTCTTAAAAAGTTAGATATACCTCTGCCCTACAAGCCGGCCGCTCCGCTACCCAAAAGAAATGCAAATCTACGTCTACAAGAAACCTTGCAGAAGAATGTCCGTGGCAGCTTTTTCCCAACAACCAAAAACTGGAAATGAGCTCAGACGGTGATCCTATAAACAGGCTGTGGCACATCCGTACGATGGAATGCTAGTGGAAAATAAAGAGACAAAGCCCTGGGTCTCAGAAACTTTATGCTGAGTTGAAAGACACCAGATACCAAAGAATTCTCGCATATGCTTCAAAAAGTAGTTTATCTCTGGCAACATTACTCGGACCAGCGATTGCTTGGGGTGAAGGGCAAGAATCGGGTGGGAAGGGGCAAACGGCAACTTTCTGGCGTGAGGGAAAAGTTCCGGATGTTGTCAGGGGCGCAGGTAACATGGGTGGTCACAGCGCACACTTAAGGTCTGTATGTTCACTGTGTATTTCTGCACCTCAAGAACACTGACCTCAGGCAGCTGTTAACAGGCAAACTGGCAGGCCCCCTTTTGCTCTCATTCCCCAAAGTTTCCACCGTCAAGTCCCAACAGCTCTCTGCCCCTCCAAAGACCCTCACCACAGACCTCAAGCACCCGCAGCCCGGGCTCCCGCCCCAGTGCTCACCTAGTCACCCAGAGCACGCCTGTGGCTGGGTCACATCTGTGTCTCTGTACCACACAGCCCTCTGCGGTACCCCTCCGCTCACCCGGAAAGTTGCAGCTCAGGCACCTCCTCCTTCAGGAAGCCCTCCCAGAATCCCCTGGCTGGGCCGGGGGCACCCCTTCTGAAGCCCTGATTCTTGGGGCTCGCTTCCGTCGTAGCACCTGGCACTTTCTCCTAAGGGAACGGGTTTTCCAACTGCTAGGACTGCGTGAGAGCCTCAGAAGGAAACAGTGTGTCATACTTTACGTCCCCAGCTCCTGGCACAAAGTTGGGCACAAACATCTAAGTGGACCCAGGAATCCCCTTGGCAGGAAAAGAATTTTTAATTTTTTTAAATTAAAAAAAAAGGAGGAAGGAGGAAAAAAAAGGGGAGGGGGTGGAAGGAAAAGAAAAGGTCCTAAGGGGCAGAGAAGCAAAGAGAAGGTCTGACACGGAGAAGGAAGCCGTAAGGAAGGCACCCTACGAGGTGCCAGGACATCCAAGACCCCATTTCCAGAACACTGCTCCCAAAGCCTTCTGCTCCTTGTTTCCAGGGGCCGTGGCTGAGAGGTTCCCCCCACCCTCTGCAAAGCCAACAGCAGCTCCAAAGCCAGGCCCCCACCCTGCCCACCCCGCCTCAGCCCGGAGCCAGTCTGGGCACCCAGGGGCCAGATTCCAGAGTCCAAGGCTTTGCAGCTCCAGTTGTTACACGATGTGAAAGAACAAAGCAAAGTCTGTTACCAGATTTAAAATCCTTTTTACGTTAATATGCCGAGTGTGATCTTTTCACTAGCAAATTTGATTATATACTTTATGTTCACTGACAAAAAGAGAGGGACTTCAAATCTGTAATAAATGGTTAATATGTCTATGGGCTTCACTCACAGATTATTTTTTTCCTTTTATTTTTTTTTAAGTTTTTTTAATGTTTATTTATTTTTGAGAGAGAGAGAGAGAGTGAGACAGAGCATGAGCGGGGAGGACCATAGAGAGAGGGAGACACCGAATCCGAAGCAGGCTCCAGGTTCCAAGCTGTCAGCACAGAGCCCAACGCGGGGCTCGAACTCACGAACTGTGAGATCATGACCTGAGCCGAAGTCTCATGCTTAACTGACTGAGCCACCCAGGTGCCCCACTTTTTTTTTGTCCTTTAAAAATCAATCAAGGGCGCCTGGGTGGCTCAGCCGGTTAAGGGTCCGACTTTGGCTCAGGCCACGATCTCGCGGTTCGTGAGTTCAAGACTCACACGGGGCTCTGTGCTGACAGCTCAGAGCCTGGAGCCTGCTTTGGATTGTGTCTCCCTCTCTGCCCCTCCCCTGCTGGTGGGCTTTCTCTCTCTCTCTTTCAACAATAAACATTAACAAAATATGTTTAAAAAGTTAAAGCCTACTGAGCCTTTCCAACCACAACTGTTTTCAAGCAGCAAGGAGATAACAAACAACACACTAGGCTTTACAAGGGAGAGATGGGGTCTGGGTTGAAAAGGGATAAATACCAGAGTTCCACCAGCAGCCACAGGGCACCAGGCCCTGAGCAGGGGACAGGATTAAGTCTCCTTTTGCAGGAGGAGGGACAGCACAGGGGTTCTGAGAGTCATGTGACTTCCCTCAGGTCAGGAATCTGGCGACTAACAGATCTCGGGACCCTGTTCTTCCCACCCTCCCAATGGTTCCCGCTCCTAAGGTTGACACCTGCCCTTGAAAATTTTCAGAGACAGTGAAATTTTAACAGGATAAACAGCTGAGAACAAAGAGAAAACTTAACTCTAAGCTAAGTCCCTTCTACCTAATTAAATTGGCCCCGCTTGATGGGGAGATTTTCAGAGGCGGCAAGGAGGAAACTATCTATAAAAGGAAATGCAATTAAGGAGAGTCTTTTTCGATACACCTAATTGTTGGACTGCCCTTGCCCTAGGCAGAAACTTAATTCTACTTAAGGACAGCTATCTTTGAAAAGTTGTTACGTAAATTATAAGGTAAGGGGAGAAAAGAAACAGGAACCATTTTACCAGGTAAATGAGAAAGGCTGAGAAGGGAGCGATGTGTAATAGATCTGCAATTGACTGGGATGACAATCTCAGCGGGTGTAGACCAAAAGCCTGCCCAGACCACAGGCAAGTCCATCCTGGTAATCATCCTGCTATCATTTATTGTACTGCTTCCCCTAAATTAACCTAAAAACCAGGCAAAACAGGAAACTCTCTTCAGAAATTAGCTGATCATGAGGTGCCCAGGTGGCTCAGTCTGCTGAGCGTGTGACTTCAGTTCAGCTCATGATCTCAGGGTTCATGAGTTCAATCCCTGCATCAGGCTCTGCGCTGACAGCTTGGAGCCTGGAGCCTGCTTCGGATTCTGTGTCTTACTCTGTCTCTGCCCTTCTCCCCTGCTTGCGTACTCACACGCTCCCTCTCTCTCTCTTTCTCTCTCTCTCTCTCTCTCTCTCTGTCAAAAATAAATAAATTTTAAAAAATTTTAAAAAGAAATTAACTGATCACAAGTTGACATTGATACATTTAGAAACATGATCTCCTCTGTTTATTACAGCTGGAAATTGAAGGAAACTGCAACAGAGGCCCAGGTTTCTTTTCAAACACTGTTGGGTCAACTCCAAAACAGGAGACGTGGGCAGTTCGTTCTGTGCATCAGCCCAAGCGGAATTATTTGGGAGGCGACAAACCAAGCTGTCATCAGGTTAAGACAGCATGCAGGCGCAGTTCGGGGGAGCCTGACCCCACCACTCGCTCTGGGTCCACTGCACACACCCGAGGATCTGACACAACTACAGGATGAGGAGGGACCAAGGGTCTACGGCTCTCTACCCAACCCTGGCATGCAGAGAGTGGTGCCATGCAAGGCTCTGGCTTCAACCAAAGAAGCCGAGTAGAGTGCCCCGGGGTGCTGGCGGAGCGGACCCCATGGCCAGCACACATAAGCTCGGGTGTCTTCTCCAGGCTCAGCTGGGGACGCTCACTACCGATGCTTCCGTACAGCGGCCAGGCTCTGATGAAGCCAAGACTGGACAGTTGTGGAGCGTAAGCCCCTTGCCATGAAGTTTGCATTTCTGAAAGGTCACCGGGCTCGGCAAGGAAACAGGACTGGAAGAGGCAGATCTGTGGGCTCATTGGCTAAGTGCGGCCCGAGCACGGACCGGAGGCCAAGCACCAATGGGGGGACGGAAGTACAGCCTGGCAGGCACGCACGAGTCTGGATTGCATCCCAAACTGGAGGAAGAGGACTTAATTTTAAGGCCTCAACTCTGTCATTCTCAAGCTGTATGCAGTTGACCTCTCTGAACCTTTGTCCCTCATCGGCAAATGACACACGAATTAGAACTGCCCGGAGAACCGAGCAGCAAAAAGCCTGAGGTCAGCGCCGGCGTGTGGACCATGTTGTTAACCACAGGTGCTCAAGGTTAAGGGTCTCGTTAGATCCGACACCTACTGGGGCCAGTCTGCGGAGAGGCTGGTCCGGCGGCGAAGCCAAAGAGGGCTGCCTGGAGGAGGTGGCATTGGAGTTTAACTTCAGAGGGTGAGGAACAGGGCCCCTCAGGAGCTGGGCGGCAGGTAGCGGGCAAAGGATAATCTATCACTGCCTGCCGCACCGCTACCAGCAGCAACAACGCTACTCCCTGGCGTTTACGGCTCCCTCTACAGGGCACAAAGCTTTCCTGCAGCAGCTCGGTCGAACCCTGTCTCTACATGGGTCTAAAGGAGCTACCCATTTCACAGGGGAGGAAACTGAGGCTCGGCAAGAAGGAGGCCCCAGCCGGGCGCCGCTGGCCAGAGTTGACAGGCCGGGATTCGAACCTCCCGCCAACCAGGACGCCTGCGCTCCGTCTCCGGGGCGCGCGCCCAGCCCTCCCCGTCGCCCTGGAAACGGCCTCTCCCGCGCGCGCGCGCAGTTTCCCCTCACTCGCTCTCCGGCTGGCTCTCTCGTGGCTTTTTCTAAATAAAACCCCGAGGCGGCGGGATACCACCAACGACTGAACGTGCCGTCGAAGGACGCCGCTACGTCCGCTCTCCGCCCTGGGCCGCGGATCCCTCCGCCGCCCGGCGGCCCGCGCGCTTCTTCCCGACTCCAAACTCCAAACGGCTTCCCGCGCGCCGCGCCGTGCCCCACCCCCACCTCATCCCCACCCCAACCCCCAGCCCGGCTCACCTGCCGCCCGCGTCTCCATGGCAACGCCCCCACCGCGGAGGAAAAAAAAGCCTCGGGCTCTTCCGGGCCCCCTCCCGCGCCGACCGAGAAGGCGGGGCGCCCCGCTGATGCTTCGCTTTTTATTTTTATTTTTTTAAGAAAAGAGCCGGCGAGGTTATGGCGAATCTGCGGCATCCAACATGGCGGATGGAGTCTTCGCCCTCCTCTTCACGGGGCGCTGACGCCGGCGTAGCGGACGTCAGCCTCGGGTGACCCTCCCCCAGCGCGGAGCGCGTCTAGGCTGGGCCGGGCCAGTGCGCATGCTCCGGGCCGGCGGCCGCGCTTGGCACCCCGCTCCGGGGATTCCACCGCTCCGCTTTTTGAGCCATTCCTGGGAAGGAGCTAACGAGAGGCCTGGAGTACGGATCGCAGGATTGGGAGTCTTCCCATTTGTGCCCGGAGCCAGCAGATCTACCTGCTTGTGCATCCTTGGACTCACCTGACGTGGAGCCACCGGGCTAGACGTGCAAGGAGAGTTCTGGGTTCCTGTTCCCGTTCTGCCCTTTACTAACTAATCTGGGACAGCGGCTTAACTTCCCTGGGTGTGAGTTTACTAAATAGTCAGTCGGGGAGGTTACAGCCTGCCTCCCTCTCCAGGGTTGCTTGCAGCGTCCCCGTAGCAGAGCTGGATGCTCTCCGCTGGGGGTACCCGGCTCCATTTAGTCCGGGTGGTGCAGCCAGAATTCAGCAGCCTGGAGCCACCTCGGGAAAGCGACTGCCCTCCGACCTGAGTGTCCCGCACAAAGTCTCAGTTGCGTGTGAGCACGCCTCGCTCCCGTTCCCGAGTCTGGCGCGCAGCCTTCCTTCTGCAAGCAGCCAGTCTGCTTGAGATGTGATGACCTTGTTTTCGGTTTCTGATGCGGAGGGGACCCGCTCTGCCGCTTGCCTCGGATCAGTGCTCCGGTGACATCTCCACGGGGGCCCTCCCCGACCACCCCGTCCAAAGTAACCATCCTAAGTCCCTGTTTTCTACATAGCAATGTCACTGCCTGACACGAACTTAACCTCCATCTCGCCTAGGTCGCCCCTTCGGCTCCGAAACTAGAAACGACCCTGACAGTTATTTATCTGTCCCTGAGCTACACCAGGTGGACAGAGGCCACTCGGAGCGCTCTCTCTCTCCCTCTCTCTCTCTCTCTCTCTCTCATGCTGGTTTCCCAGCTCCTACTGCACAGTAGTATTGAATGAGCAACACATTCGTTCCCAGGGTCACCTGCGTTTCAGTAGTAAAACTCCCAGGGACCTTGAGCTTTAGGGTGACGCATCAAATTTCTCCGGAACCATGTGTCTTGCTCCTTAACCCTGTTCTTGAGAGATAAAGAGTCCTTATGAGACCCCACATTCATTTGCCCAGTCCATTAAATATATGTTCAGAGATATCTCCTTCCCCCACCCTTTTCTTTCATCATTATAACAACCAGGGATGTTCAATTGGACAGACATGATTATTGTTCTTTTCTAGATGAGGAAAGCAACGCTCAGAGAGGTTATGTGGCTTTTTGAGATCACACAGCAAGCCATTGAAGACCCAGGTGTGGAACTAGTCGCTCCCCACCGGGTGTTCTTCCCATTCTACCACGTCACCACCAGAGGCGTGCCCAAACTACCCACCGTGCCCCCAAAGAGCCAATTCCAAGACTCTTGGAAGGTTACTGCTCTTCCAAGGTTGCTGCCACACACCCATCGCATCCTACCTCACAAATAAATGGCTAGGTGGAGCCCATCACCGATTTCATTTGGAATCTCAACACGCTGCACTAATGAGCTTTTCCTTTTAGAACTATAAATATTTACAATAATCGCTATTTTGCTGTGAATCAATGTCTGTCAGGAAACTAGGGTTGTTCTGGTTGCCGACAATATTGGTTTCGCGCTGGGTTGCTTTCTTGCAGGTGCATTTAAATGTCAGTTATTGATTAGAAGATGGATTGTTCCTGGATGTTGTGACCAAAATGAATTTTGGAAATGAAGCAATTTAGAATTTATCTGAAAACCAAGTTGCCTCAGAATATTAACAATGTCAAAATAAAAAAAAGAAAAAAGAAGAAGAAGAAGAAGTTGTGAGTTACGGGTGACGGTCCCGAGTTCATTATTTGGACAGCTACGATTTTCTCTTTTATTCTCATAGCATTTTCTTCCGTCTCTGTCCAAAGAAAATTCACTGAACATGTATCATTACTGAAAACTGGCCTGGCCACAAGCATATGGAAACAACAAAGACTCCCCTTTCTATGGGACCAGATTTGCAAGTGGAGAAATCAGTCCATCCCAGCTCAGCCATCACTCTGCTGGATTTGCACATTTTCAACGAGCAAACATCTTTATTCTTCTCATTTGCCAGTAATATCTCAAAATGGCTTCAATTATTGAAGAAACACTAGTAGAATTAAGTATAAATTGCTCAAAATTATATAATTAATGGCACCCTACTTCCACAATGGTTCCCAGAGGCGATTAGCTTCCCAGCTGGCCCTTTGGTGGCAATCAGCCCCTCGAGGCTGGCACGTGAAAGAATTTGTGTCAAGAAGTTTATCAGCGAACATGAAATGGCTTTTAGTTACATAATAAGTAATCTCTGTAATTGAATATATTTGTGTCAATAATTTTATAATTATATCTCATATCTACATGACAAATATCCATTTACATGAAAAGAGAATATATACATAATTTTATGAGACACTTCTTGAAAGCAGGTTTAGATAAAGGATACATACAGGTGACCTCCAAATAATGGGCCTTGAGGCACACAGCAACGATAAAATCAGAGCTGGGGATAATCACAGTCTGAGTGACGTATTAAAAATCTAAATAGGCACGCCGTAGAGAAAAATCCATTTAAAATTGTATATAAGAAAAGGGGGTAGTAATATTTAGAACGATATGAGCAGTCTCAGTGTGAACAAAATTATGACCTTAGGAACATGTTTTCTGAGTTCTGTCTTTTCTGTGGCCATCGGGTGCTGCCCCCTCACCAGTCAGCCTGTACCCGCAGCCCCTAAATATTGATCTCAATAGTATTTTTCATTAGCAGTAGCCAGGGCTCCCTCAAAGAAGCTGAGTCTGCGTTTGGGAGCAGGGAAAATTGGAATGTCCTGAAACACCATGCTATCGCCAGAAAACCAGGATGCCGCAAAAAGTGTGCTGGGCTCTTGCTGAAAGGCAGCGGTCAGCTCAGAGAACGAGGTGGTCCCTCTTCCCTGCACGTCACAAAAAGGAGCCAGGTCTATGGTGGTTGACCTACGAGAACAAGTTGAGCCTCTGAAAGGCGTGAGACTGTAATGATAAAAAAGGAAAAGTCAGGTGTAATTACAAAGTGTATTATAATTCAAGAAAGGGTAAAAATAGAACAGTTTCATAAGTGGGTGCATTTGGCATATATGGGGTTCTGTTCTTACTTGAAGTTCTCCACATCTGTTTATGAAGTGATACATCTGTATAAGCAGGTAAGTTTACTACGAGTGTGTTAAAAATTTCCAGAAAGAGTCAAAACTGTACCCAAACCAGGAAGGGCTTGGTCAAGGCCAGCGAGTCAGTGATTGGTGTCGCACGTTAATGGATTAGGCAAATGTCCTAGGAGAACGGCTAACAGATTCCGCTGCCATGTGGCCCTACCAAGTACAGCAAAATGCTATGGATGCGTAATGAAGTTAGCTGTAAACTGAGGCAGAACATGATGGATCTGAGATTTTCCGTACATGAAGATCTACTGTACACGAACTGGCTGGTAAGTCCTGCTGACATGACAGTTGAACCTGATCTGAGAGAGGGCACCCCAACCAGCAAACACCTGCTCCCCTTTGAGTCACCTTGAAGGATTCTGTGTTCCAATTAAAAATCCCAACAGTCAGGGACCCCAAAGCTGTGATTTCAATGCACCTGGGAAAGAGATAACCTCTCTCTTTTGGGTCTGATATTGCAATCCTGGAAAAGTACAAAAATAAGTTTGATAGCAATAACAAAAAAAAAAAAAAAAAAATCAGTCAAATCAATCATTATGATTTTTACAAATAGGCCAAGGGTACAGTAAAAACTTTTGTGTTCAAAGCATTCAAGAGAAGTTACATGAGACATATATTAGAAGTTATATTAGAAGTTATACTGAAATGGTAATTTGGCTAAATGTGTGCCTGTTTAAGGAGATAGGATTTGTAAGGTTTTAAGTTTTTATCAGTTGTGCTTGAATAGTTTACAAAAAAGCCAAAGGCTGTATAAGTATAATAAACATTCTTCCAGCCATCCACAAGCAGCAGTAACTGGGCCATGTAAAAGAAGGGGGTATGTGTGGCCTTGGATCCCAGCAACAAGAAGGAAAAGCAGGAGCACTGCCAGAGGCTAACAGAGTGCCAGGCTCATCACAGGGGCCCAATAAACAGTTGTGGAGTGAAGGGAAGGGACTGGGGGGAGGGGTGCACACTGGGGGTGGCCCCAGGAGGTGAAGAAAAGGAACAATGCATAATTAAACACTTCTTTTGTGGCTGTGGTGTGAGCAGCACTGTTGTAAATGTTTAGAAGAGAGAAAAAAGAGATTATGAAGAAGCACAGGCATCTGCGCGTCCTTGACTACAGAGCTGGCTTACCCAACATGGAAACACTGTTTCAAAGAATGAAAGGAGAGAGAGAGAGAGAGATGGGTAAGGGGTGCCCTCCAAGATACACCACTGAGTGAAAATCAGCCTGCAGGACGGTGTGTGGACCAGGCTACCATTTGTGAACAGTTTTGATAAGATCTGCATGAACACGATTACACATGCATAGAGAATCTCTGCAAATACAGAAAAGAAACCGGATGCAGCGGACAGCGTCGTGAGGATGTCTGTAACTAGGGATCTGGGCTCACTGGGAGACTTAGTTTCCACTGAACATTCCTCTGAAACAGTTTGCATGTCCGTCCATGTGAACAGAATGCTTTTTTAGGGAAGAAAGGAGAGGGAGGAGATTTGGAGGCCCAGCTCTGAGTTCCGGTCCTAGCTGTGTCAGACAGGAGCTGTAGGACTTGGGACACATTTGCGCCGTGCTGTCCTTCTCTGGGCAGCAGAGGTGTTGATCCCACATCGGAAAATTGTGAGAGGCAAATGAGGCAAAGGTCCGGAAGTGCCGTGAGCACCGTGGTGGCTGTGCTGGGCCAAGTAGCTTCGGTCCATCTGGGACAAAAGAAAAAGCAACACCAGGCACCGGGCATACAGAGGAACGCACTGGACA